TGGGCATGAAGAAGAATTAAGAAGCACAGCAATAAAGGTAGAGAAAAATAGGGGTAGAGAAGCAGCAGTCTAGTTGTGAGAATATCGGAAGCCCCAAAATTAGATTGATCCTATAATAATGGATATTAAGGACAGAATTTGTCTGATTATTTTTTTTAAATCATGTATAATTTAAATTTTGAAAACGGAATGTACTGCGTCCTAGGCGAGGTTTAGGGGAGTTTCACCTTATTAAATAAATTACTTTTTCTTTTTACATGTAGCCACCTTTAGTGTTTTATTTGTGTCCAATTCTGTTGATAATGAAATTAGAGTTGTCAAAATCTATAATAGGATGTTGTGATGAAATAAAAACACATCTCTCTCAGAGAAAATTCTTTTGGCATTGGGTATATACTATTAAAATTTTAATATTTTTATTCTATATTGTGCGTTCCATTCCATGAGCAACATTTTTCAAAATAATGTTTATTTCATAGTTGGCATGAAAAAAAAACAACGCTTTATTGTACAAAAAGCCAAAACAGCTTCATCGACAAAGCAAAACAAAAAAAAACAAAAACAAATATACAAATAATACAAAAAATGTCATACAATACAAATCAATTAAAAAAAAATTACGTCATAAAATTACAAATAAAACATATATGGACATTGCAGAACACAGGCGTATCTAGAAAATTTTACAAAAGGAAAACTGTAAATGGATAAAATCATGTTATAATAACATAAAATCAAGAGTTATAAAATATTAAATACTAGACCTTTAACCAGTGTGTGAGATGATCAAAATATTAAAATTAAAATTCTAAATTGTTCATGATTAAACATCAACAAAAAAGTCGTTTACCGCATATAGGGCTCTCTCCAGTAAGTATGATTTCAGAGCTTTGCGAAATGCGGAAAAGAATGAAAGTGACTTGATATTCGAAGGCAAATGATTGTACATTTTCTTGGCATTGTACAGTATTGAGCCCTTAACTAGTTCTGAGCTCGGGGTTGGCAGATAAATATCGTGCTCCGCATTCCTAAGTGGATAGTTGTGAGAAGGCCTTTCCGGAATAGAGAATATGTGCTTGCGGATTAAGCAAACGGATTCAAAAATGAATAAGGAAGGAAGAGTCAGTATTTTGAAATTTTTAAAGAAATTCTGGCAGTGAGTTCTACTGTTTAGTCCCAATAAGTATCGAACTGCTCTCTTTTGAAGTTTGAAAATACGATCAAATTTTGTCGCGCAGCAAGTACCCCCAGAATGGAAGGGCATAACGAAGATGCGACTCAAAAGGGCATAATAGACCATTCTAGAGGTTGATGAGTTAAGTTCCTTAGACACTGATCTTAGCGCAAAACAGGCAGAGCTTAGTTTCTTTGATAAGGCTTCGATGTGCAAGTCCCATTTTAAAGAGTTGTCTACAACAAGTCCTAAGAATCTCACAGAGTCCACGACGTCAATAGTGGTGTTATTAAGTACAAAAGGTTGTATAGTACTTTTATATGACAAAACTTTAGTTTTTGAAAGGTTGAGGCATAGGAGATTAGAATCGCACCAAGATTTAATGGTTGTGACATCTGGGCCGCTCCAAGTGAAACTAGTATCGTCCGCAAAGAGGCAGATTTTACCGCTAATGTCTAGATTTGCAATGTCGTTGATAAACACCAGAAATAAAATAGGGCTAAGTACTGAACCCTGAGGGACACCACATTCTATAGGCTTACAAGAAGACATAGACGTATCAATCCTCAGAAGCTGCCTTCTGTTGCCAAGATACGACTTCAAGTCATTCGAGCGACACTCCCCTGAATCCATAGTTTTGCAATTTGTTAATTAAGATATTATGATTTACACAGTCGAAAGCCTTAGAGAAATCACAGAAAATTGTAGCTGTAGAGTGATGGTTATTCAGGCTAGAGTATACATTATTAAAAAGGTCGAACATAGCATCATTTGTACAACTGTTACTTAGAAATCCAAATTGATGGGTAGAAAGTACTTTATATTTAAGGAAAAAAGATAGAAGCCTTTATGAAAAAGGTAACTGATGATTTTTACATGTAATTGAATTACTGACTCTGTCTTTTATCACAATTCACAAGAATTTGATGATTAAATACATATATCTTAATAAAGTAATTCTTCTTCTTTCTCTGCTTATCCATTAATGGATCTTTGCGACCACATTTTCCATGGCTTCCCTATCTCTGGCTGTGTGGATCAAAGTATGTATGTTACTACTGTCTGTCCACTGTCTTATGTTCCGCAGCCACGACATTTTTTTCCGTCCCAAACCTCTTCTGCCCTCGATCTTGCCCTCGATAATCAACTGGAGAAATGTGTATTTATGGTTACGCATGACGTGACCCAGGTATGCGGTCTTTCTTTTTTTTATAGTGTTGAAGAGTTCACGTTCTCTATTAACACGTCTTAGTACATCCTCGTTTCTTATCTTGGCCGTCCATGGTATCTTGAGGATTCTGCGGTATATCCACATTTCGAAAGCTTCCAGTCTGTTTATGGCACTTGCTTTTAGTGTCCAACTCTCCACGCCGTAGAGGAGTACCGACCAGACGTAGCATTCCACAAATCTCAACCGAAGCTCAAGGTCGAAATCGCTACAGGTGAAGACTTTTAAATTTAAATTTCAGGAATGCGCCCCGGACTTGCTCGATTCTGCACTTAATGTCCCTGTCAGATGACCAGTCCTCGTGAAGCCAAGCTCCTTGAATTTTTCGACTCGTTCTATGAATTTTCCCTCGTATGTTAAGCTGACGTCTCTAAACTTATCCACCTCTCTCGTGACAACCATGAATTTTGTTTTCTTTTTTTGTTAATGGCCAGTCCCATTCTTTGACTACATTCTCCTACCATACTAACCAACTGGTGTAAATCATCCATGTTATCCGCAACCAAAACTGTGTCATCGGCATATCGTATGTTATTTATCCAGACTCTATTGACTCTAATTCCAATCTCCTTGTCCTCTAGCGACTCCTGAAAGATGGCTTCTGAGTACATATTGAACAAGAGCGGCGATAGTATACACCCCTGCCTTACTCCTCTGCGAATACAAATTTGGTTGGTTAGGCCGTTCGCTAATTTTACCCGTGCTGATTGGTGCCAGTATAGGATGTCTTTCTGGTCTATATCCAATCTCCTGAGAAGCTGCATAAGTTTATGATGTTGAACCCTATCGAAAGCTTTTTCGTAATCTATAAAACAGAGACATGCGTTCTTTCGCTGGTCGTAGCAGTTCTGTACTAATATCTGCGTCGCGGCCAGTGCTTCCCTGGTGCCTAACCCCTGTCTAAATTCAAACTGTGAGTCACTCATTGCATCCTCACACCTTCCGTACAATCTCCGATATATTATTCTCAGGAATATTTTTAGAGAATGACTCATGAGACTGAAAATAAAATTTGGGACGAAATTGGAGTTGCAATAATTGTATTGGATGGTACATATGCCTACACATTTTGATTGCTTAAGTTTTTTGAAGCTTAAATATTGTAGGTAAATACCGTATGATCGAATAAAAACGGCGTCAGCGATGGCTATGAAATGATCGTCAGTTCCAAGCCAACTGGACGCCGTTTTTATTCGATCATACGGTATTTAAGAATGTTATTTTTTCGGTTTTTATAATTCACATGTTTAATTTATACCTTTGTATACCTACAGGGTGGCAAACTATATAGGTACGGCGGTGAACGTGAACGCGTTGATGTGTGCTAGAATGATCGCTCATGTTACCGCTGCCTTGATCGTGATCGCGGCCGTGATCGCACTAGTGTGCGTATAGCTTAAGCCATTTCTTGGTAGGTAATAATAAATTGACAATAGGTTAATATATAAACTAATTATATGATGATTAGCTCAAATTCTTCTTTACAGATTGCGGCTCTTTTGGAAAGAATTTTGGTGAATTCATATCTTTATTACAGTTGAGGGTTGGAACCTTTGGCGTTACACAGCAAAATAAAAACACTAAATCACCACAATACACGAAAACACTTTTACTTTTACACTGGACGCGCGTTTCGCTAACCATGTTAGCATCATCAGCAGATGATTAAAACTAAACTAATATCTACAATTTAGTAGTATATAATCATCGTAGTTTATAATCATCTGCTGATGATGCTAACATGGTTAGCGAAACGCGCGTCCAGTGTAAAAGTAAAAGTGTTTTGGTGTATTGTGGTGATTTAGTGTTTTTATTTTGCAATTCATATCTTCAAATTTATAAGGATATACTTGAAAAGATTATTAATTAAAAAAATATGTGAAATTTGAGTACTCATTTCATTAAATTTAGATTTTGATCACTTTGCAATATGTCGTTGGAGAATTTTAAGCTACTATTTTATGTCTTTGATTTGATTCCTCTTAAGTCGGCTTTCGAAAAATGACGATTGATTGATTTGATAATTTTGAATAATAAACTCAAAATGACTTAAGTCATTGCCGTACCTCAATGATTTAAGTAAAAAAAAAACTTAAGTTTTCTGTGAGCTTGCATCTTTACTTTTATTTACATCAAGCGTAAATGAAATATGTATAGATTATAGTAGTTCTTAGTAGGGTTCAGATCTTTTTAAGTGCTTTCTTTTAATGGCGATATGCTGAAGAACACATATGAACCCCTTAAAATGATCCTATAGAGTTTCAGATATTGTGTCACGCCCCATGGATCATTCACTGACATAATTAACAACCCCGCTTTGTTTTTTACCACACAAGAGCAAACCAGCAGAGAGAGAATCGCGACTAATTAAATTTCACTCAGCCGCGCAGAAAGAATTGTACTTTTTGTTTGTAATTTTCCGGTAACTTTGCGACGGACGGTGCCGCGGGGCGCGGGGGCACAACAAGTGCAAATTAAACGAACAAAGGGCACTCTTGACACACGACAAAGTGAAAAGGGACGGCTCGAATACGAGAAAAAAAGTAGGAGCGCGCTCAAAAAAAAACGGGGGGAGAATAAGGTTTGGTTGGTACTCACCTCGATTTGAATGCCGCTGTCGCCGCTGTTGCACTTGGCGCTCCTGGCGGCCTTGTTCAGCTTCTTGCGTTCTTTACTCGTTCGCCATATTAACGGGCCGAATCTGGAAAATTAGATGGAAATTATGCCAACGAGATGAAATTAGAAGGTTAATTTGAGAAACAACAAAGAGTGATATCGGGGTTCATGAACTTTGAAAAAAAAATCACCCTTATTCACTGAAAAAATATTATTCATAATATTAATGAACATTGATTATTAAGTATTGTTTCATTGAGACAATGATTTTTTCATTATTGTAATGATTTGTTTATCATAGATCGATGCCTCATTTATTAACAGTATGAATCTAAATTCAGCAATATAATTAAGATCTGGTTATTAAATTAATATAAGATTTTCACTAATACAAAGAACGCGTTCATTGTTCCAATGAATGCGTTTTTTACTTTAGTTCTGAAACTTTAAGGAACACTTATTTATTATATTAATATTATATTCTTTATAATAATGTACTAGATTCTTTATAATAATGTACTAAATCATTGATTAATGAGTTGTACATTGTGAGAACGAACAATGTTATTAATACAAGGAACACTACATTGAAAAGAGGTTAAAATTACTTTACTTGATATTTTGCTCGATTCCTTTTCGAGATATAGAGTTTTTAAAAATTCGCTCACTTTCAATAAGCAGGCTTTAAACGGCACCGACTGTAATGCAAAAAAAATCTATCTGTGAGCAGCAATTAAAATGAAAATAATATTTGCATGCAGAATTTTGTAATAATTTAAACTATATTTAACAACATCAACACATTTAAACTCTGTATATCTAATAACAATCAAAATTAATAGTAAACAAAGACATGAGACTTTGCTACAGGTGTTCCACATGTCAACCTTCTTCTGTTATGGATAGATGGGACCGTTTTTGATTTCTCGCGGAATTCATTAATTCAGTGGGATGAAAGATACCCTCGCATAACCGCTAAGTACTTCTAATTCTTGTCTAGATTATACGAGCAATTAAAAATGAGAAAATAAGAACCTTTATTCTTCCGCAAAGATTAAAATCCATAGGCACTAAGTCCGGCGGCCTCGACGGTCAACGGCTGGGATCATGGTTAGCTATTCAATGATTCTCGAAATTGGCTACAAAAATTTGCTGATAACTTCAGCGTTCTGAGGCGGTGTCTCATCTTGTTGGAAAAATATATTTTCGAGTTCCATTCAAGGCAGATCATCAATAAGGGGTCCAAAGTTTATTAGTTAAAAGTGGCGAACTTTTAAAAATTCTGTATTTTTAAAAGGGGACTATAACAAAATATTTAATAATTTATTTAATAACCTCCAGACGCCAATCACCCGAATATCAACGTTAGTTCAGAACTTGTTTGGAAAAAGTCGAAATAAAAATGAAAGTTTTAAACGAATTAATTCGGACCCTGTATAAAATATCGCTATTGAAATATAAAAAAAAAATTAGTAATAATATTCACTAGTATCAATATTATTATTCATAACAATTTTACAGTACGTGTGAAAAAGAGTGCGAGGGTCACTTTTATCTCAATTTATTATCAATTTTAGTTTTAAATATTAATTTTTAATTCTCCTTTTTACAGACATAAATTAAAACTGAGTATTTACCTGGTAAGTTAAGGGGATAACTTTCAGTATTAATATGAAAGGAATTTTGAACTTCTAATAAATCTATTAATTCTCTTTATTTAATTTTTAATAAGCAGAAAAGATAAAGTATTGCAGACCATGTACAGTCAATATTGCGTCAATATTGCGCACCATATGTGGTCTAAGCAACATAACAGTTGGAAGCCCGGATTATCCATGAACAACCCCATTCTCTTTCTCTTTCTCTTTCTCTTTCTCTTTCTCTTTCTCTTTCTCTTTCTCTTTCTCTTTCTCTTTCTCTTTCTCTTTCTCTTTCTCTTTCTCTTTCTCTTTCTCTTTCTCTTTCTCTTTCTCTTTCTCTTTCTCTTTCTCTTTCTCTTTCTCTTTCTCTTTCTCTTTCTCTTTCTCTTTCTCTTTCTCTTTCTCTTTCTCTACAAAGGTCGAAATTAGGATTACAGCATAACTTTAACTTATCAGAAAAAAAAAATTAAAAATTAAAAAATAAGAACAAAAAATGACTTTGTAAGTTAAATTTTTAGGAGGCGATAGCGTCCTTGATTTGAAATTATCAACTTTCAGTTACTTTTCCTAATGAATGCAGTGCCAGTGTCCAGATTGCGATCGCACAAACTCTGAAATATTATTTTATCTCTTTGCTCTCTCTCTATCTCTATCTTTCTCCCTCTGTTCTACGTAGTTTCGCGATAGAAACACCGAGCGAAAATTGAATTAAAATGGGCCGATGAAAACGAGCTATTGAAATCAGCACTTTCGGTCGGGGACTTAATTTACTTGCCTTTTATGTGGAGCTTTTTCCAACTAAAAAACGTCGAAATTTATGAGTTAATGAACCGGGTTTGACGGTCTCATAATAACGGGACCAAGTTTTCAACCGATCTATTTTCTTTTTGGTAAAATATAATAAGTGGAGTTGTTAGCATAATTAGGCCTTTGTGAGTTCATCGATCTTAATAGTTGTTCCACGATGAAAATTATTACTAATTTTTGAATATCGCAAAATACAAGTTTTGTTATGTCCATTGCTTCATTAACTCTTAAGCTTATTCTTTCAGGCCCGGTAAGTCTCGCCACATATATATTTTAGTCTCAAAATTATCATAGACAAATGGTATACCCATTCAGGCTGAGGCAACTAGGCATAGAAGCTGGAATGGTGAATTCACAGTAGTCCTGATAAATAAAAACAGAAAGGCAGTCAAAGCTTTAGTGGGTCTACTAACTGTAGGATGAAGTGGTATCTAAACCTGATGGCATTGACGGATGACGTCATGTCCATGTTTTGTCAGTCTGAAGAAGAATCGGTGCGACAGCCTGGCAAATGTGCGGTTCTTTATACTAGCAAAAGAAAACACTAAATCACCACAATACACCAAAACACTTTAACTTTTATACTGGACGAGCGTTTCGCTAACCATGTTAACCATGCATCAACAGCAGGCGATTAGATCTAAACTAATATCTATAATTTCAGCGTTTATATACTCGCTCAGTGGGCACCGCCTGACAAGATCTGGCCAACCGAGTCAGAGCTCACCGAGTGTAACAATTAATTTCCGCAATTACAGCAAGAACTGGAAGGAATTGGACCTTTGTCTCTGTTCATACTATCTTTACATTTATTAATTCTGATGCTCTCATATGCATGTAATTGCCTATAATTTGAGACTTGCTTAATTAATTTTAAATTATTAAGATCTATACAATGCTCTTTATCAACAATATGTTCAGCAACGCAAGATTTATCCGGTCTACATCTTATCTGAGAAAAATGATCTTCTAGTTTGCCCAACATATTCCTGATTACAATCTTTACAAGAAATTTCATAAATACCCGACCTTTCCAGTGGAGGTGTTTTATCCTTAGGATTACCTAATAATAGTGGAGTGCTTTAAGCCCTTATGGGATACAAATCTCGGAATTCATTTAGTGTGAACGAATTTTTATAAAACTTTTTGCATTGTATTGTTAATAAGATATATTACAAAGTTTACCCATTTAAATTCGTTGCTTTCACTTTAGTATTTAAATAAACACACATATACAAATGCATACATACAAGATGGCTCCGTGTTCCGAAGAAGCTCTGTATCAGAATTCCTATTTGAGATTTTCAATCCAAACCTTTTACAAAATATGTGTTTAATGGTAGCTCACATTTCAAAAATCTTTTTAGAGATATACAGGTTAAGTCAAGTATATTTTTACTCTCAACTCTCAAGTTTTAGTTTTTCAAATGTAATGCTTTATATTTGTTTAGTTCAGTGAATTTGCTATAAAATTCCGGTTCCAAAAATATCTTAATACCATAGAGTATACTGAGTGGTTTTTAGTTATAACCATGTCCATGGGGACGTCAATCTAGACGTCCAGGAACCTTCGTATGTGAACTTCTAATCGAGACGATCGACTTATTGTAAGTTTATCGCTAAGAAACCGCCGTTTGCCACCTTTTTAAATTTATAATGAATTGCACCTAAGGAACATACATATTAACTAACGGACTATAAGAAGAAGACTATATATAAGAATAGCTTTTAAAACGTCCTTCGGCGTTGTGCGATGCCTAGTCACCATTGGTTTCGTTCATCCCAGTCTCCGTCACGCAGATCCCTTGAGCTCATGGCCTTCTTGACACCCTCCATCCAGTTTATCCTTGGTCTTCCCCGTTTCCTTCTCTTTTGTGAAAGCCAGTTTAGTACCTATTGCGTGTTGTCTATCCTTCTCACATGTCCATACCACTTCAGTTGGGCAATCTCTATTTCCTCTACTATAGTTTTCTGTCTATCCATTTTGTCTCTGATTGTCTCGTTTTGTACTCTACCCAGCCTTGATGTTTGTGCTGATCTCCTTATCGAGTCCATTTATAGTAATTTTCTTTTGTTATTATCCGTTAACCTCCATCTTTCCGCCCCAAATAACAGATTGCTCTTGATTATTGCATCATAAATCCTGAGTTTTCTGTATTTACCTATTTCGTTACTCCACAGTATATTGTTCAGACATTTTATTGCATTTCTGGCCTTGACTATTGAAGAAGAAGGCTAAATGTAGCAAATCTTATGTCAAGAAGGCCTGCTTCGGGACCAGAACTGACTAGATCTGTTGACTAGGACCAAAAGCAAAGGCATGGTCTTAATGTAAAAATTACGAAAAAATGTTAGTGTCTTCTTCAAAAGCGAATATCTCCAATAAAAATAAAGCTAATGAGATGAACCAAAAAACAAACTATCGAAAAGGAATGTATCTAGATAATAAACTGATTTTTAAATTTCTTGCTGTTTTAACATATTCCACAGGGTGTTTTAAACTTTCACCAAAATATCAACATTTTGTTTTCCCTCATATAATTAACAGATGGGGAGTTTCATGTTTAATTTAGAAAGATATACTAAAAAGTCAAATAATTTGGCTATATACTGCTTAAAAAATTATCAAAATCGGCCC